TCGACTGTGATTGGTCAATTTCTTAAAGATTACGGCTTAAATTAACGGTTACGGCCTCTATAAATCAGCCTTTACACATATGTACATCTCAAGTTTAATGAACTTTGCTCGAGCTCTGATTGATCAAATTTCAATCCACCAATCCGTAGTTTACTGATACGGGCTTTTAACGTTTTTGGGAGTCTTTCTTTTGGATGAGGCTTTTGATAGCTGGAATCCGACGTCCGACAAACTTCCTCGATAATCTGCAAGGGGGCGTTAAAGTGCAAAATTCTTTTAGGCTTCGTATCCGTTATGCACAGTCTTGAATGACATCTCGTCGCGATGTTGTCGATGGTTTTGCCCAATGGCGTAGGAGCGTCGAATGTCGATCGGTGTTCAGCGTGTTTTGCAGTATCAGCTGATGGACTTGATGAACTCTTCCGCGTTGTAAAAAAAAGGGGAAAAAACACAAGTGCCGCCGTGGAGTTCGGACCGTGGCAGTACGTCGAGAGCGCGTCGTCAATATTGTAATATGCCGACGCGTGACGTCGCCATCGAAGTAACGGCGCCGGGACAGATATTTCCGCTTTAACGGCTCGACGTCTCCGCGCTAATCCGCTGTCATCGTCAAGTTGTGTTTTCATTTGGTAGGTCCAGTCTGTAACTTTCCCGATGGCAGTGTCGCGACGCGTTACGACGTGTCGTCACTCGTCACGCAGCTTTAACGTTACGCGGCTTCGCCAACGTAACGTAACGCGTTAACGACGCTGGCTGCCGTTAGGAAATTATGTAGCTGCATGGCTAAAATAATCCTCGAACCTGCTTCTAAGGTTCCGAGGTTTGTAATTTTGCTCATCTATTAAACTGCGTTTGCAGACCCGCTCGTCGTTCGACGTGAGAAGGAGAGAGAGAGAGCGAGACGGAGACGGCGTCGGAGAGGGAGAAGGAGAGGAAAAGAGGTAGAGATAGAGTGAGAGGTGAGATGCAGTGTTATCGTAAATAAACATAAGTCTGTATCGCGTACCTTCTTCACATCACAGATCGCGGCGGGTTAATGCCGTTCGTTATTTTTAAGTGTGGAGAGCGCGCCGCGACGTCGTTTGTTGCATCATCGAGTCATTGTCGTGGATAATCGAATTGAACGATCGGTGAAGCATTAAACCGGATTAACACGGCGATCCTGGTTTAACGCGTAGGTTTTTATATTATTCACGTATTTATTCGCGATTAACGTTTTACATGTACTTTGACCCGACAAGTTATTTTTAAGACAATGTCCCGAGAACTCTGCCTGGATTTCCATATTGTCGTTTAATTGTTGAAAAGTATCCTGAATAACTAATGCAAGGGCTGATCAGTGTTGCATAAATGCCATAAATCATAAAAAATATTCGAATCGTAATCTTGCAATATAACTCATGTCTTGATTCTACTTCAGGTAGAACCAATTAATTCTGATTGTGAGTCAGAATTTTCTTGCATATGTTATATAAAAATAAAAAGTGATATGCTAGATTTTACATATATATCACTTATTTATGCTGCAACAATGACATAATTAATGATGGTCATTTTTGAGTTATTTGCAAAAGAATGGTGAGAATATGGCTAGATACTTTTGTTTCTCTATAATCAGTTATTACACCAAAATAGCATTTGAAAATAATATTACAAAATTTTAATGTCTTAAATATTTAAAACGTTTAAACGTATTTATTAGAAAACTTTCTTTTTTGAATTATGTGGCAACAAATGAGCGATATATACATGTATAGTACTTCACCTTCACACATACACGCACACACATACAGAGAGAGAGAGAGAATACACATATGACGTGTCAATATATTTATAAGTATAACTTACTTGTTACTTTGAAAAATAAGTTTCTATTTATTTACTTGCTTTGCTGAAGCAAATATATTATCTAAACAAGGATAATTAAGCCTGTACATATCAATATCTTTTTGCTCGTATATTGTTTTACTCACGTCTAGTTTAATCCTAATTGGATTGATAAACCATAAAGATCTTAGACCTTAACAATATTATGAATACTTTATTTCAAAGATAATTTCTATAAAAAATAACAAAAGGAGGTCAATATCTCTGGTTCAAGACTAATCAAGATACCAAGCTATTTGATCATGCTTATCTTATCATAAGAATGAGAGAAATATAGAAATTTCGCTTTCTCCAAAGGTCGCCGTTGACTATTAGAGTATGAATCTTGTGTTAGACGTTCTGCAGAAAGATTCAAAAGATTTTATTTAGATAATCAACATTTGGGAAAGAAAAATTCAAGTAACCTAATACTATGAATATATTGCGAATATTGTATCCGCACTTGATAGTCCTTTCCAGCTTAAATATCTTTGTTTATATTTGTTTATAAACAAGCCATTTTTTATCTAACTTTCTATTAAGTTCTTCTATTTCTTTGCTAATTGTTTGCATAATAATATAATAATAAATTGATATATATTTATTGGATTTGTTATAGAATACTTAATATATACATAGATATAATCATGGGAGGAGCTGTAAGCTGTGGGCAAGACAACGATGAATTAGTGGATAATTTAATGAGTTCGGGATATATCAGAACGAAGAAGGTCGAACAAGTTTTTAGAGCTATAGATAGAGCAGACTACGTTCTGTCTGCTTATCGAGAAGGCGCTTACAAGGACCTAGCTTGGAAACATGGAAATATACATTTATCAGCTCCCTGTATATATAGCGAAGTGTTGGAAGGACTTAGTTTAGAACCTGGTTTAAGCTTCCTGAATCTTGGATCGGGAACTGGCTACCTCAGCACAATGGCGGGACTGTTGATAAGTAAGGAAATTGCTGCTTTGAAAATTAATATCGAATGTGTATATCTTTTGTATCTTTTCCAGAACGACACGGTGTAAATCACGGTATTGAGTTACACGAAGATTGTTTAAGATATGCGTACGAAAGATTGGAGGAATTCAAGCAAACGTCATTGGCTTTAAATGAGTTCGATTTCTGCGAACCTGTGTTCATACAAGGTAAGACAATTTCTTCGATCTTAGCAAGATGACAATGGATTTATGACAAATATTACATAATAATATATCCAACAGGAAATTGTCTTAGCATTATACCTGGCAAACAATACGACAGAGTGTATTGTGGCGCAGCGTGTCCTGAAAGCCATGAGGCATTTATCAAGCAATTCGTTCGCGTTGGCGGTATACTGGTAATGCCTTACAAAGATCAATTGCTACGTATGCAAAGAGTGGATGAGAACACATGGTTGCAGAACACAATGCTTCCTGTATCTTTCGCGACTCTAGTCGTACCTCCGTCCTCGGAACACAATTTATTTCACCTGCGTACGTACAGTTCATAAATATATATATTTTTTTATTTGTTCAAACATTGATTTTACGAAAGTTATTTACATCACTTTTGAAATTCTATGTTGCAGCGGAGTACAATCCCTTATCTCTGCAAGAACTGTGTCGTGGTAGGATCCGACATCATCTACGTCATAATATTTGGTTAGAGCACCCCGAGCTCGAGACTGTGAAGCCTGTATTGCCGGTACAGCAGAGATCAACCGCGCAACAACATACCCTCCGACGTTTCGTAATACCTATTTTTGAGGAATCCGACGAAGCTTTAACCGACGATGAACAAGAAATTTCTGGACGGGCGCGTTTCTTGCTAAATGCGCATCTCGCCGATGCTCAGCCGGGCGAAGCAATCACGACGAGCTTACAACTGGTACGAGCGGTCATACAACCAAATCAGAACGGTGAAGACAGTGAAGAGACTCAACGGGTTTTGAATTTGCATGCCCACGAGAGCACCCGTGATATTGGTGTAAACACAGATTTCCCTGTACGCCAGCAGAGACGGAAATCCGCCGCGAGAAATGCTGTTTCGAGTACGAGCACGGACGACACGAGCGCGGGTCACAGCTCCTCTGTCGCCACAGACACGAACGACAACAACAATGGAGCGGAGGAGCGAAGTAAACGAGATGCGGAGAGATCTAGCGTAGCCGCGTACTCCAATATGAGCGACAGCGACAGCGACAGCGATGCCGAACAGGAGAACGCATTCGTGCAACGCAAGAAGATCGCGAAGCGCGAGAAAACTGACAGCGGCATAGTGGACGACGCGAATTTCAGCAACGACGACAGCAGCTCTAGTTCGAATACCAATCATTCAGACTCGGACATAACCGACACCACGGACGCGGGCGACGCGATGGACGTGGATTTGCCGGAGATTGCGATTTACAAGTCGTGCGGCGGTAACGCGTGTTCCCGCACGTCGAGAGGCTCTAATACCGGCAAGGACATAACCGTCGCGCACTATATCGATAGCAACGCGTTCGCCGTTTACATGAAGGAAAAGATAGAACAGTTACCGTTGCCTTTCTCAATAAAGCTGTATATGAATTATAACCGGAAATTATAAGCGAGTCACGTTATTATTATTCTTATTTAAAAATATATATATATAACTTTTTATCACGCAACGATCTTACGCTGATTTTCTTTCTCTCTCTCTCTCTCTCTCTCTCGCGTATGCGTTTGTTCTTACGTAACTTACCGCACGAGTGTTCTAGGGTTCCGAGTGATATTTTCGAAACGAACTCCTTTCGTATCTAACGGCGCTACTTAACCGTCGCCGAGATATACTTATGCGGTCTGCAGATAACGATGAGTCACTGACGTACGACCTTTTCGTCAGTGCCGAGTTATCTATCGTTCCTACATCCTGCAACTTTCCTTTCAATCTCCTAGTTATTTTGACGTAACGAATAGAAACAAGGTATAAAATTGTACATGTATAATTGGGATATCTAGGGATGAGATTATTAAAAAGATTAAAGTCTCGTAATTTCGTATATATGATCTTTTATTTATTTATGATGTCTCCTACGAAATGTCTGCGTCACTTGAGACCCTCTACTCTTTAAAGACTAACTTTTTAAAATTCGATGCCATTGCATTCTGAGAATCGATAAAGAAAAATTAAGGAATTGAGAAAAGAATCGCAAAAATTAAGAAAACTGCGATTCACTTTGGAAGACCATGCTTTCGATATCGGTTCACAGCCGACATCAGAAGCTGTGATCCACATTGGGTCTGAGTTCAGAGTTTGTTTTCCAATGTGGAGTAAAAAAGATACTTTAAACTAGTGCAGCCAGTTTAACAATAGAAAACAGACCTAATTTATAATTGACGGCGCCAATTGATTTGAATTGTTCACACTGAATCATATTAGGGTGTTATTTTACGCAACATATCCTATATATCCCATACTTTCCATATTGTATAATCTAAAATTCTAAACATTTGTGTTGATTAAATTGATTAATTTAATAATGTGATCGTACTATTCTAGCTTCAGTTGAGACTGCATTTTAAGACCGTTATAGTAACGACGCGCGGTTTGCTAGGGTGAAATTGTACATCAAGAGACACGATAGTGACGATAGTATCTCGCACCTCGAGTACCTTTACGCGAGTCGGAGAGACTTTCAAGTATCCGAGATTATCGGATCTTATATAACGGCTGAATCGATCAAGTTCCGAGTAAGCTTAATCGATAGCTTAGATTTAAGTTATACGGCAAAAATGTTTTTATTTTTCCTGTACGTGCCCTACGAGCGAAGATTGCGACGCAAAGTTCGAATCTGGAAATTTATATTTAAGAAATGTCATCGTCGTCGCCCAGAAAATTTAAAATTCACGCGAATAATATTATTAGGCTACCAAGATCTAATTCTGACCGTAAATGACGTTTTCTCTAAATTGATGGTATATTATATCGGTCCTGTTTCACTTGTTATATTGTGAATTGTACTGAATTTCTCTCCATCGAGTCCCGACAATGACAACGACGTTTACACAGCGGCTTATAATCCGGTTTAATAACTACCGTATGCTATCCGATCCAAAATTGTTCTTTTTTTATCATAATGATCATTTAGATATATGAGCCTTTTTTGATACTTAAACTACATCTTTTTTGCTATATGTATAAATATAAACAATTGACTCAAATGTTATGAATATCAATAAAATAATAGGTTCTTATTTCAATGATTTTATAATCAAAAGAAGATAAATTTTGGATCAGATAGTATACAGTAGTTATTAAACCGGATTATAAGCAGTGTGTAAACGTAGTTATACCAATACTCGTGCGCACATACATACACACAGGCCACAGATTGGCACAGATTAATCTATGTGGAGACGTGGGGGTGCCTGAGGGGGTGAGCGCGCGCGCGGTCTCGCTGGAGGAGGCGGAGGAGGAGGCTAACGCCCGCAGCAGCCCGGTAGATCGCGCGACTTCGCGCGTATCCCGTGATAAGAGGCGAGAGGGACGAAGGACATCAGTATCCAACATCGGCGCGCGTGACCTCGGTCGCGAGCAGTTGCAAGGTCGTGCTAAGGTCGTTTATCGAGGTGTCTCCCTAGTCCCTCGCCACCGCCTCCGCCGCTCCTCCTGTCGAAATTGTCGAGCCGCGAATCGCGCATTTCGCGTTCCTCGCGAATCTCTCGACAATGTAGTCGATCGAGAGATGCGTAGGACACCCCCCCCATCCACCGAGGTTCGCGCTTTTGCGCGGTATTCGGTTCGCGGGTAAGCCCAACTGAGCGCAACATTTCTGATATCGACGTCATCATGCCGGAAAGAACCCCGTTGATGCGGAAAGAAACCCCGCGGAGGGCGATAGCCGATTGAACGACGAAGAGAAGATATATAGAGTCGTTAACCGACTCGCGAAAGGTCGTTCACTTGGAGTTGGAGGTGTCGCAGCAACGTCTCGCTCGAGCCGCGGGCAAGGTGAAAAAGGTGTCGCGTTGAAGAATGTTTACGCCGACTTATTATCAACCTGGGTCATCGCAGCCAATTCGCTATCTCGAGACAGATTGATAACTGATATATGAATATCTCTCGATATATGATTTTTCTCGAAAGTTTTCTAGACTTTTTAAAAAACATTATAATAAGTTGTATGATTATACATGATATTTCCTAAGTAAGTACAAAAAATTGGAGGGGATATTCCGTGGCTTATTTTATGGAGAAAAAGTTCTACAAATATATGTTCTAAATTGCTTTGTTTTCAAAATATAGGGTGTCAAAGTTGTGAAAAAGTATGAAAATTTTGAAAATCTGGAAAACGTTTGTAAAGATATTTTCAAATTTAGTATGCGTACATGTGGTAGTAAGAACCATTTTCCCGTGCCGATAAAAAACATTTTTAGAACATCCATGTATTTTGAAAACAAATTAAGCAGTTTAGGGCATACTTATGTTTATATAAGATCTTTTCTTGCTAATAAGCCACGGAATATTCCCTTCAATTTTTTTGTACTTAGGAAACACCCTGTACATAAATTTATTATTATTATTATTATTATTATTATTATTATTATTATTATTATTATTA